CGAAGCCGAGCGGCCGCGGTTGGTATTCTTTCTTTCTGTTTTTTTGGGCATTTTTGCAAAAAGGGAGAAAGAGTTTTCAAATTAAATTTATGTCACTACTATTTAATGATTTGCAAATACTAACAAACAAATAAGTTACTATATATAGTATAGTTTGCAAACATATGATGTTTATTTTACATAATATATATGTTTGAGAATTCACTAGGGCTGGACTAATAAAAAACTCTATAAGCTTTTAATTTTTAAAATTAAAAATACTTGATAACGAAGTCAATAATAACGTTTATTCTGATATTTGTGATTATATACTAATTGTTGTTAGTTCATCATTTTTATTCTGTAAGTTTTTATAAATAAATGAAATAAGCCCTTTTGATTTATTGAATAATTTTTAAAAGACAAATTTTTCGCTTAAATAATGTTTTTTTTTGAAAAGACAAATATAGATAAATTATAAGCAAAAGTCTAGTGATTCTTTATCACTTACTTTTCTCTACATATGGGTAGCCAGTTTATATCAAAAAAATTAAAATATAAAAGAAAAAAAAAATTAAAGCGTATTTATATTTATTCAATAATTTAATGTATTATAAAGTATATCGATTTTTTTTAATCAGAATAGATAAATTCATCTATATAAAAAAGAATTAATTATTATAATATATAGTAATAGCTTCATTTTCAAAACTGGTTTGATTAGTAGCTATTTCTTCATCTATCTTTATTTAAATTAATTTCAGAAATGAAATAGATAGAAAAAAAGGCAGATGATAACATAAATTCAACGCATTTGACATATTTTTAAGATTTTTCAAGTTCTTTATTTTACACTTACAATGCCATCAACTTACCAAAAACTAAATGATTCATGTATTGCTAATTTTTATTCTTTTAAAATTTTTGATAAAATTATAAATAAAAAAACTGTTCAATATAAATATGAAAATATAGTTTGATTAGACCATCTATATAGAATAACAAATTTTGAACAGCATATTAAAAGCTATAACTGTATTCTTAGAATTGATAATCAATTAAGCTTATATAATTTTTTTTATCAAAGACAAGAATATAAGAAGAAAAAACTGAATTACATGAACCTTTACTTTGTATTAGTTTATTTGGTAATTTGTATACATTTTATGCTACCCATATTCTGACATTTTTTAGTAATGCTGAAAGGCCTAAAGAAGTTAGAAAGAAACTTTTTCCTAAGAAATTTTCACAGGATATTTCTTTTTGTCATAAGAAGCTTAATAAAGATCAGATTCAAGAATTTAATACTGCAATACAAGCGACAGCTATCTAGAAAGTCAATCAATTTGAAGGAGTGATACGAAGTATAAAATGTGAAATTATAACAACAAATTTATCAGAATTATATAATAAATATTTTAATTTGCAAAATAACAAAAAATTGAAACAAGCACTAAAAGCCATAAGTTGATCAAAATTAATGTATATTTGTTAACTATTATAAATTAATAAATTATTTTTTTTTTTTAAAAGAAACATGTAATACAATCAATAGTCAAATATATACCAAAATTTTATTTCAATAATAATTTGATCAATCTTTTAAAAAATAAAAATCTTAGAAATCTTTGAAATAATGTAATTGTAAATAAAGATGATGCTGTAATGTGGACTTCTTTAGCTTAAATAGAAATGAATAGTGCTTTTAGTGATGAAAGGATATTTACAGAATTAGCATCTTTAATATTACAAATTAAAAAAAAATGCAGGTGTTAGTTTGAAGGGTTTGCGATATTTTGAGCATCTTACACATTTTTTTAGCTTATTATCTGAAAGTAGCTGTGAATACAAAATTTTTTGTAAAGCATTAGGAGAAATGTCTATTTAAAGAATATGATAAATATACATATTTATATATTATAAACTTTTTATACTTATAATTATTAACTATATCTTAATTATTTAAGTTAAATACATACTTCAAATCCTAAATTACTTATAAATTTTAATTTAGTTTTAGAAAATATAATGAGATTTGCATGTATAACAAAAGAATTAAAATAGGAGGGTCCAGTTTTATTAATGATTGATTGTATAAAAATCTGCCTAAAGCTAGTATATTCTCAAGATCTTGGTTACATTACTGGATCTACTTTATCACCAAATGAAACTTCAGTTTTTAATATTGATGATATATATGCAAAAATACGATATATATATGAAAAAAATGCAGTTGCAATACAAGTTCAGGTTATTGTTTTTAAGGTTTTTAGTTTTATAATTTTTAATATTCTTTAATATTTATAATTCTAACTGAACATTAATTATTTTAGATTTCAATTGAAAAAATACCTCCAGTAGTGATTGCTATTTTACCTACAAAAGGTGATGAATCTGCAGAATAAATTTCTAATATTCTTCATATTGTATTAAATTTTACATACTAAAGTAACCTTAACATCCTTAGCATAAAAGCTGATAGTGCACGATCAGAATTTAATGTTCAAACACAAATTATAAATTCAGCATCAACATACTTTACATTTGATGATGCATTTTATAATGTGCATTTAAAAGTTCTGATTATAAATGAAAAACTATTAGTTCATGTTCAGAATCCTAAACATCTAAGAAAACAGCATGAAATCAATTATTTACTAGAGCATGACTTCTTTCTTTAGAAATAAATACTGCACGATATGATCAACTTTTTAATCTAGCATATAGAAATCATCATATTTTATTAAAGTGTGATATTCTTAATGTAGACAAGCAAGATGATAGTGTAGCTTATAGAACATTTTATTCAGAAAATTTAGCATAAATTATTGATTCAGAAAATGTTCCTTCTAATATGATTGGGCTTTTAATTTACTTACTCATTTTTGATAAGTTATTTAATTTAAAATAAAACTTATATAATAATTATTATTAATAATAGGAGAATTATGTGATGCATACCTTAATCGAAAATTGATCATAAAACAAGAATTTAAATAGTTATGCATACATTCTTTTTTCTTAAAATCTGAAAGGATTATATTCAATGTTATGGTTCAATTCATACATTAAAATGGTATAATATGCAGTGTAATATTATTTTTATGCAAAGTTTTGAAATCTTTATTAGTATGACAGAATCCTTATTAATGCTTATTTTAGTTCATCAAAATTATTATTCTAATTATCCCTTATTTTTATTGGAACATAGAACTGAAGTACTTAAATATATTTTTGGTATATCATGTCAAGTAATATCATATTTAATTTTTATAAATTTTATAAAATTTAAACATGTTATGCATTGAGATATGATTTTACATACTGGATTAATTAATACATCAAGAGATCGGATATTAGCTGCAAGTAAGAATTTTATTATAATAATTAAAATATAATTTTAAAAATTCACAAATTTCAAATACTTTTTAGGTTATGTATTTGATATTAATGATACTTTTTTTTCTCATGAAGTTATTGAATATTTGTGTACTTGGCCTTCTAAAAATAACATTAAAGAAGCTATTTACATTGGATATGATGAAGCAATTGCATTGGTAAAGTATCTTCAAATCAATAATAAAACTATTCAATAATTTGTTCATGTTAAATTTTTTTCAGATAATCCAAATATTTCAAAATAATTGATGAAGAAAATAGTCAATGTCAAAATTTAACTGATACAAAATAATTTATTTTTTCTGAAATTTTTATTAAATATTTCTAATTTATATTTATATTTTTTTTTAGAACAATTTGAATCACAAATAAAATCTGATGATATTGAGACTATTGCATTTGAAATTTTACAGTTTGTATTAGATGAATCTGATTAGAGTTCTAAATGAGTCAATCAAGTTGAGTTTAAAGATTAACTCTATTTAATTCATTTTTTTCGAGTTGAGTCAAGTCAAATTTATTTTATAAAATCTTCTAACTTAACTTGATTTGAGTTATATAAATTTTAAACTCAACTCAATTTGATTCAACTTGAGTTTAACTTGACTCAATTTTGACTTAAATTTATTTAAGTTGAGTCAAGTTCAAATCAAATTTTAAGTCAAATTTAAATTAACTTATAAATATTTAAATATGAAAAAATTTATTTTAAATTATATGATATTATAAGTTTTA